CTTGTCATAAGGATTTGATCACAACAAACTCCACACGGTTAAATAACGTAAGCTGGTTCAATGGCAATATGAAAGCAAGACAATGTTCTTAAGCGACCACCCACGTACGGAAGGAGACTGCTCGGGGAGGGAGTCGAAGCTGAGGTGGGAGGTGGATGGGGAGGAGGACGCCATTGCAGCCGCAGCTGGCCGTTTGTGAGTCGGCGGAGGAGAGAGACATTACCAAAGTGAACAATGTCGACTGGCTTTCAGGGATTTCCCTGGCTCGGCTCTCTCTTCTGGGGCTGTGGTGTGGAAACCGAGGAGTAAGATGGACGTTTTATCCCCGTCGAGAGTGAAAATGTGGAGCCGCAGCGCTGAGCCTAAGCAGGTCAATAAAAAAAAGAGCTGAGTTTCAGGGGGACAATGGGGGAAAGTTTCGGCTAAACTTGGCTAACTAACGGTAGTTTTAGCTAATGTTAGCGTTACCGCTAACTCACCGTGCTGCACCTTCTTCACATGTGCAAGATGCAGTTTTATTTTGTATTTTTTTTTTTCTTCCATATTCACGCGAAATCAAAAGGTTAACACTAACAGGGAAACAAAATAGTGAGCTTTAACAACAATTACGCTTTTCCGATGCGAAATAATGTGCAAAGATAATGCTTTCCACCAGTGAAAGGCTTTAACTGTGACCGAAGACTGTTTAATAGTGAAAAGTTTACCCTGGCTGTAAACAGAGTCTTTTAACGTGGTGAAATCTAGTGTTCAAATCCTCTATAGTTTTTTTTTTAAAACTGCAGTAAAATGTTGCTGGAGTTATTGTTATACATTAGTAGAGTTATATTGCTAGTACATAAACACGTATGGTGGGAAGTGGTACAGTAACCAGTGTTTGCTAGTTTTATTTCTGACATTCTTTTTAATCTGTAAACATTTACTTTTGTACTTTGAACCTTAATGCGAAACGTGTGTGTACCACTTTACTTAAAGCCCTCACTATTTAGTATTCATATGCAGCATACATATTTTATAAATATGTAAAGTTTGTACCATGGAGCAAAATTTGGGTAAATCCAGGTAACTTCAGAGTTTAGCCTCGACTGTGAAGGCAGTTCACTTCTTACTGCGGTATATCCCCGTGGATGAGCTGCAGTCCTAACCTGTTCCTGATGAGGTTATGATCAAGATTAGACCTCAACCACGTCCTGACCAGTTAGTTCTCTGGAATATATCACTCCTAGAAGAGTGATCTACTACCTACTAGCACCCTTTGTGCTAGTAGGTAGTAGGAAGATCTGAGGTCTTTATCTTTCTCTAAAGAGCATCTGTAATTAATATTTAGTCTTAGATGCATCTTTATTCTGTCATTTTAGTTTTCTCTGTTGGCTGTAAAAAAATTCTGCAACTTGTTGTTGTTATTTTTGCTCTATAAGCATAAATATTTGATGTCAAACCAGGGTATCTGTTTGGGGATTGAATTTGGCTGTAGATTAGTTTGAATTCGTTTTTGTTTTGCGTTTATTCTTTACTCACAGAGCGTTAAACACTATTGATAGTTTGTCTGCAGCAGCTGTATTATGTGTTTAACCTCTGAAAATGACCTGTGCATGTTTTTGATTGCTCAGATGCTTCCAACGCTTTAGATTTCATAAATCCTGGATTGACTACTTCATGTTACCCTAAGCCCGAATCCTGTTGTTGGGCTAACTAAAGCCAGATAACAATATCCTGCGTATGTTATCAAACTTGCTTCACAGTACAAGTCCCTGGTCTTTGCTATTAGTTTTTGTGCTGCAGAAAATAGTAAAATCCATGAGTTGAGTTCCAACTGCATGAATGTAGATTGAGGGTTGAAGGGTTGTTTTTCAATCATGTAATTCATGATTTTTTTATTTTTTTTTTTTGTCTTAGTTTGGCTATTTTTTTTTTTTTGTCTAATAATGCCTTCTCCTCAGCAGTCCCCCACCATTCCTTCACCAGTCCGGTGGCCCAGCTTCTCACCATGAACACCAGCAGGAACTGTACCACAGTGGGGAATGGCGAGGGTCTGGCTGCCCTGGAGTCAGTCTCCATTGTGACCATCACGCTGCTCGCCTGCCTGGGGAACTTTCTGATTGTGGCAACCCTTTATCGCAGGCCTTATCTGCTCACACCCAGCAACAAGTTTGTGTTCAGCCTGACTCTGTCCAACCTGCTGCTGTCCGTGCTGGTGTTGCCGTTCGTAGCTGTGAGCTCAGCAAAGAGAGAGTGGATGTTTGGGGTGGTGTGGTGCAACTTCACCGCCCTGCTCTATCTCCTCATCAGCTCTGCCAGCATGCTCACCCTCGGAGCTATCGCTATCGACAGGTTAGTGCCAGATTATACTGTATTATATAATCTAAGCATTTAACTTGAATTCTTTTAAAAAGTGAGCCCTTAAACGACACTGACATTAGGACATATGGTTCCTTCCAGCGGAGAACCTGTAGCCCATTTTTGGTCTCTGCTAGTTTCTGAGAAAGATTTAGCTGATTAATGCATCACTATTTTATTATTTTATCCCAGATGTTGGGAGACTCTGGCATCAAATGGACTAGAGCATGAAATTTAGTGTTGATTTAAGTCCTGAAGCTGGATGTAACCAAGACAGTGAAGTTACAGTAAGCATAGGAAACTGAAGGTTAGCAATTTTCCACTTCAAGCTCAGATGAACGTTACGCTGAATAAACTTTAAAAAAATGCTCTTGGTGCATTTCCCTCTAACGTCACACTCTTGTAAATAAGAGAGGTTAACCACAGACTTAATTTGTGATATTTTCCTGTAGATTTCTCTGATCAGGTGATGAGCATGGGCTTAAATGCTTGAACTTTAAATGCCTGCTTAAACAAATGCATGGAATAAAGCCAGTAAACATATTGCACACAATTTTGATTATAAAAATGTTTAAGTCATAGATATTTTAAGGCACTTTATTTATTCCAACAAAAAAAACCATCTTTGATATTTGGGGTTTCCTAGTTTTCATTTTTTGGTTCCAGTTTTTAGACTCGATCGTATTTTGCCAATATTTTGTGCAAGTACTTTGTGTAATAACAAACTCAAATGGTCGTTCAGACATAAAGTTTAGTTTATTTTGCTTTGCTCTGTAAGAAGGGGAGAATTGTTAATTAATTTCGGTAATCAAAAAATATACAGTAACATACGATATCATCTCAGAAGATGTCCTTCCAGCCCCATTATTTGTCCATCAAACATTCCCCGGCTGTGAGGTTTTCTCTATGTATCCATGTTTTGTTTGATTGCAAATTTAAATTCTTTGGGTTGTGGCTTATTTGTTCAGAAAACCATGCAATTAGGAGACACCTTTGGGACTCAAGGAAATTGTTAGCAGCTGTTCTGTTGTTTTCCTAAATGCTAGAAAATGCCTAAAATGATTAATCTGATGTTCAGACCAATAATCAACAATTGAATGACTTTTGAGATTAACACTAAAGTTTCAGCACTTATAATAACTTCTTATCCACATGCACTGCCTTTCAGATTTTCTGGAGCTACTTTTAAACCGCTGCAGTTGAATACTGTTTTAATTCTGTCGGGTGTCGCAGAGCTACTGAGAGCTACTGTAAATTTTCTGTGTAGCACACAGTTCCTGCTGTTCTCACTGCTCACCTAATTATCCTCAGCATCCTTTGGGAATTTTAGATTACAGAGCCTGTTTTTGTTCTTCTGCCAAGCCCGTCTGTTCTCTTCTGTTTGCAGCTTTTAGGAAAACATTTCACAGGATTGTCGGGGAGAGAGAAAAGTGCAGCTTTTAGCTTTTGTATCACTGACTCCAATCTCAGCAGCCTGTGTGTTACTCTGATCAAAAGTCTCCCTGGAGGACGGTGTTGAGTTCCTGTTGTGCAGATTTCTTCATCATGCTCATGTCTCCTCACAACAGGTACTACGCCGTGCTCTACCCGATGATCTACCCCATGAAGATCACAGGCAACCGGGCGGTTGTCGTCATCGCCTATGTGTGGTTTCACTCGTTGGTAGGCTGCCTGCCTCCTCTGTTCGGCTGGTCCTCCTTTGAGTTCGACTGCTTCAAGTGGACGTGCGTGGCGTCGTGGCACAGTGAGCCGAGCTACACGGCCTTCTGGGTCACCTGGTGCATCCTCCCACCCTTCTTCATTATGCTGGCGTGTTACGGTGTCATTTTCCGCGTAGCCCGCATGAAAGCCCGCAAAGTTCACTGCGGGACTGTTGTTGTGGCCCAGGATGACTCCACTGGAGCCCAGAGGAACGGGCGTAAGAACTCAAGCACCTCGACTTCCTCTAATGGAAGTCGGCGGAGCCTCGTGTACGCAGGGAGTCAGTGCAAGGCTTTGGTCACCATCTTAGTGGTGATTGGCACCTTCCTCATGACCTGGGGGCCATACGTTGGGGTGGTGGGCACTGAAGCCTTGTGGGGTCAGGGCAGCGTGTCTCAGTGGGTGGAGACTCTGGTAGCGTGGCTGTCTTTCTGCAGCGCGGTGTGCCACCCACTCATCTATGGCCTGTGGAATAAAACGGTGAGGAAGGAGCTGCTGGGGATGTGCTTTGGAGATCGGTACTACAGAGAGTCGTTTGCCACGCGCCAAAGGACGTCCCGCCTCTTCAGCATCTCCAACAGAATCACAGGTGGGACTATTGCTGGGGCTCTCTGTGTCATGCAGATGTGTGTCTGTATGTTGCTGGTTTTATCTTTAGTAAATGCATAAGGCTGGTTTAGATTTATATTCCTGTGGGATGTGATGATCTCATGAGAATTTGTGTTTTCAGACTTGGGGATGTCCCCACACCTGACTGCCATGCTCGCAGGTGGAGGACAGCTGTTGGCCCCAGGAAGCAGCACAGGAGACACTGGCTTCAGTTTCACTCAGGACTCATGTAAGTTGCACACGGAAAGGGGGAAATAATTGCTTCATATCAAAAGCTCCAAGCAATCCTCAAGTTCTGCCAAGAGCATGCCAAAGCAACAGGTGGCGATATAACCCTAAGCGTGAAGAAATGTACTATGTACTAATAACGCAGTGCACAGTCTGATGTCCACATTTAAGTGCAGAAACTAAGATTTTGGAAAAACTTCATCCTGGCAGGAGTTTTTCAGTGGTCGAAAGGCAAGTACACAGAAAAGCCATATTTACCAAAACACCCATGTACGTGTAGATGTAGCACAAGCTGTCTTACCATTGTGTCCATTTTTTTTTTTTACTAACAGGACATGATATTAGTGCATCTTCTGGAAATTCCCGCTAATTAAAATTCATACATTTCCGAAGCTGATCTTTCAGCAGCTCCTCTGTGTCCTTTTTGCCTGCGTTGTGAGCTTTTGTGTCCACAACACTGTTGTTTCAATTCGTTTTTTTAGGGAGTTGACTAACTTCAATAATCATTGCAGAAAAATTATAAGTGTATGAAAATTTTAAATTTTACCTTATTATTATCTCTTCTCTGCTACGGCATGTAGACTTTACAAATCCCCAACTTTGAGACTGAGGCAGTTTGATGATTGCAGGAATATCGTGTATTTTATCCCCACAGACTCATGAATAAAATGAAACATCCCTCAAAAGGTTGATTCTGCTCATCTGGACATAGAATTTTTCACTCATCCAAGTGACTTCTTCAGTCTCAGCTGACTGCAGGTTTTCCCAACCTTATAAACAGTACATTTGCACAATAACTGAAACTAGCACCACTGAAGGAGCAATGGGCTGGGAGATCAGTTCCATGATCATTAATATGTAAATTCTTATGACCATTGATCAACAACAACTGATCAAAGCCCAATGCAATGCACTGTTTATAAGGTTGGTTAAAATGTCAAAAGTGTTTGATTGGCCACCATAATCTGCTTGTGTTTTTAAGATGATAGAAAAACTGAAAGAATTCTAAAAGTTAAGAATATTTACATTTTTCCAGCAGCATTTGACAGCTAATCGAGCAGTTGAGATTCTTCATAAACATACAGTATTGTCACACAGTCATCAGCCTACAGAAACTTACCAGACCGTGGAGTTTGTTAAAAGAGCTCTTTCCTGCAGCAGACCGAAACGCAGTGAATCGCTGCTGTTTGGCTTCAAATAGAATTGAAGGCATGCTCCTATGGGTGAAATCCCTTCAGCGCCTGGTCGTTTGTTTCAGAATACTTTCACTCTAGAAAAAAAAGCTACATAAATACCTTTTCATTTAAGAACATACTGAGGGCTTATTGAGAACTTTTTGTCCAATTATGCTGAAAACATGCTGCATCGCCTAACTTTGATTTAGAATTTATGCGTTTCTAGAAAGAAAAGCAGCACTTTTTTTTTCTCAATTTTTTCTACAGTTAAGTTTAAAATTAAAAGAGAACAAAGCTGTAAAGATGAAGTTTGAAAGCCTTACAAACCTTACGGCAACATATTCTTCTTTGTTGGGCAGCCTTTCTGTTTTCCAGCTCATGTTTTTAACTGATCCTGTAGGGAGGGCAAGTGGTGTCATGTTCAACACAAACAAATGTCTTGTGATCCACCTTTGTGTGTACATTTCTGGCCATATGGTATGAAGATGACTTTTACTGCAACTTTCCTGCAATCTCTGTTAAGTTCTGCTTGCAGTTAACTTGCAATGATCCTCTTTATTTTCCTACACAGGCACAGATGTGATGCTGCTGGATAACTTCTCCACAGATGGCTCCTCCCTCGCACAGCACCACGGGCCTCCATCCGGGAAAAGGAGGAGCTCAGTCACCTTTGAAGACCAGGTGGAGCATTCCAAAGGTATCCGTCATTCATTTCCCGCTTCTACAGAAGATTAGAGAGCAGGGAAAATACCAGAGGCTTCACATGATACACAAATGACCAAAACAAGAAAAGAAAAGGGACCAGGCAAGAGAATTGTTTACTGTAGCTTGTGTTTACCAAAGCTTTGACTGATGTCTGTTGATTTCCCCAGCTGAAAACACATCCTCAGTCCAGATCCACGCAGAGGTGCACAAATCTCTCGACATGTTCGCCTCCTGCTTGGCGAAAGCCATAGAGAGCGATGCTAAGCTTACCCTGTTTGGGGAGAGTTCAGCTCTGTCGGCAGGACTCCTCACAGCGAGGGTCGCACCGAGGCCCAGATACCTGGAAGGCCAGAGACTGAGGCTGGAGAGTATTGATGAGGGGATCGTTAAGGATGACAGAGGTGAAGAAGAGCAGGATGGGGAGGAGAAACCCACCTGAACAGCAGCTTTTCCACTCTTGACACTGTTACAGAGCTCTGTGGTACCGCTGATGAAGTCTGCCCTCTTTACATGTGGATACTCCTTACTTGAAATTATTAGCGAACAGGAAGAGGCATGTTATTCATTTTACGATGTTGGACCCGGTGTATAGCATCAAATCTAATAGGAAGCCTTAACTACTGTAACTTAATTGGTCTGATCATTGTATTAACTTCTCCTATAGTATATATCATGTTATTGTATGTTTTTAAGCTTAATAAGAAAAATTGCCTCCAAAATGAAAGAAAATAACAGCATCTTTTGACAGATTGGCTCTTTTCAGGTGGAATTTCTCTTCTAACATTCCACTCCACTACAGGTTTTCCACTCACTGTGGAGAATTAGACTGTGAGGTACGTGTTTACTCAGCGCAGGACAACCTGCACCTTTGTCACTCTTACTGGTATAGGATTAACTCCAGTAATTTGGATTTGCATGGGAAAGATTCCCATGGTTACCACTTTGTGCCAGATGTCAGATCATGTGACCACTTCAGATGGTTGTGCTTCTGCAAATCTGTCCCTGCAAGGCATAAAAAAAGCTTTTTACTGATAATAATATCTGAGACATGTACGTTGATGGTCAGGTGTGTGCAGGTAAAGGAAGTAACTGTGTGTTTACAGAAAGGGAATAGACCAGAGTCATTTTCAATATTATTGTTACCACCTGTCACTTTGCCTCCTGCAACAGTGACGTTTTACTGATTTCAGAGGCATCACTGGTAGATTTGGAAAAACTAGATCACCTGCAGGTTTAAATGTTAATGTTATTCCAGCCTTCCCTTCCAATGCATAGTGATCTTTAAACATAGGAAATTAGTGGATACTAAAACAAGTTGCTTTGGAGTGAGACGGTTTACTATATTTATGTACTGTTCAGTCCAGAGCGATGTACTATGAAGGAAGTTCAACCATAACCAAACCACAACAACAGTTGCCTGAAGGCGCTGTTTATTGTACTCTATAATAATATTGACCGTACAATAATGGGGGGGAATTCAGTTGATCCGCTATGAGCAAGTACTTGGTGACAGTAAGAAGGAAAAACTTCCTTTTAACAGGAAGAAACCTCCAGCAAAACCAGGTTTAGGAAGCGGTATGTTTATTTAAAAAAAAAATAAAAATCTGAAAACACACACTGACAAAAGAGTCGTGGAAATTACTTTAGGTTGCAGATCAAAGTCAAATTAAGTTTGACTGAACAGCTGTTCTGTGTTCTAGTAGCTGCAGTTTCAACAGAGTCAGAGAGACTTGGTATAATAACATTTACACACTTCTAAATGACCCAATTAATATGTGCACATTCCAGTGACAATGGGATGCAGTTTGCATTTCGTTCAGTGATGTTAGTAAAGGTACGGCATAACACTTTGCATATATGAACATATTCTGCCTGCAAAAAATCTAAAATGTCTGTTAATATCTGTAGTATGAATAAGGTGCCTGCTGTAAGCACAGCTGGAGTCCTGGTATTTCAGGATTACGTGTGACTGTGGGCAAACACAGTTATTGCACTTAAACACACAATGTGTACTCTTTCACTGCAGTTTCTTATCAGTGAAGACCGAATGAGCTAACAAGAAATGGAGATCAGAGGAAAATGAAGTCCAGAATTAATAATCGATCTTGTTGATGTCAGAAATATGTTTGTGTGTTTAGTGTTGAATCAGAGGAAACCCGAGCATAGGGAATATTCATTGGTACACTGGGTTGTACCTCACCTTATACACTCTCTGTATTAGGAAAAAGAAAATTTTATACATAGAGCCCAGTTGTGGTGCTTCAGTCTTACCTCGTATGTTGAACAGGTACTATGTTTGTAAGAAAAAAAAAATGTACACCTGAGTGATGTAACCTTTTCATATACAGTAAGTGTTAATACAAATGTTTGCATTAAATTTAGTTTTTACATAAAACATCGTTTGAATTCTTTGTGTCTGCTGTGAATCCTGCTGAGGATCCTGTTTGTGGACTTCAGCTCTGCCTTCAACACCATCCTTCCAGACCATCTCCAAGGCAAGCTTTCTGCCGGTGGATCACTGACTTCCTGACGGACAGGAAGCAGCATGTGAGGCTGGGAAAGAATGTCTCGGACTTCCGGACCATCAGCACCGGCTCCCCTCAGGGCTGTGTTCTTTCTCCTCTGCTCTTCTCCCTGTACACCAACTGCTGCACCTCCACCCACCAGTCTGTCAAGCTAATCAAGTTTGCAGATGACACCACCGTTATTGGACTCCTCTCGGACGGGGATGAGTCTGCCTACAGGAGGGAGGTTGAACATCCTGTCCTGGTGCAGCCACAACAACCTGGTGCTGAACGCCCAGAAGACAGTGGAGATTATTGTGGACTTCAGGAAACACACAGCCCCACTTCCCCCCCATCATCCTGACTGACACCCTCATCACCTCTGTTGACTCATTCCGCTTCCTGGGTACCACCATCACCCAGGACCTGAAGTGGGAGCCCACCATCACCTCCGTCATTAAGAAAGTCCAGCAGAGGGTATACTTGGACCCCCTGAGCGACCATGGCTCAGGGGGTTGGGAAGCGTATCTGTAACCGGAAGGTCGCCGGTTCGATCCCCGGGCTCTCTGTCCTGGTCCAACACTTTACCCTACTGCCGTTGGCCAGAGGGGCCGATGGCGCGATATGGCAGCCTCGCTTCTGTCAGTCTGTGCGCTCTGCTGAGAAGGTGACAGAAGTCAGTCTGCCCTGACAGACCGTAGCTTGCCTCCACCAGTGTGTGAATG